GAGGGGGGGGGGGGAGGGAGGGGGGGGGGGGGGCGGGAACTGGGAGGAGGGGAATTATGGGGGGAAAAAGAGGAACAAATGTAATAATCTGAACAATAAAGATTTAAATAAAATAAAAAATTAGGGTACTCCTAAGGCTTAGGAAGAGCCACACTCAAGGGGCCAAAGAGCCGCACGTGGTTCGCGAGCCGCAGTTTGCCGACTACGGGCCTAGTACATGTAGATAGCATTTTCCCCAACATTCATGAATGTTAAGAATTTAACTAATTTATGAACTTATGAAAATGTTCAAACATATAGAAAAACAGATTTTTAGACGTGAACCCCAGGAAAGCCAGCACCTAGATCCACAGTTGTGGGTCCCCTGCTTCTTGGCACATCCACCCAGCTCTCCACTCCAACGGCAGCTGTGGAGTTAGTCAGTCCATGCAGGCGACCCGCTCCGCCCTAGTCTTTATGCAGTAATTTCATGTTTATTGCACAGTCTTGTGAGAGCATCTATATGACGCTAGGAGCTCAACAAATGTCTGTTGAGTAAGAAAAAGAACAATTATAAAATCTGTGTTTGAAACTTTTGTACAATAGAAAAAGATTTTTAACTATGACATATCCAATAATGAAGGTGCTTCCATGTAAGGAATTCTTTGATAAAAAGGGTTATGTGGCTTTAAGCAACAAAAAAACATGCACTTACAGAATAATATAAAAATCTCAACTTGTTCTGCTCGGCATACAAAGTCCCCCAATGTTTGGCTCTGCCCACCTCCTAGCCTCTTGCCATTTCCCCCTACAACCAAAGTGAACTCCATTTTAATCCCCTAAGCAATCCGCCTAATTTTATGTCTCGGTACTTTTCATACACTGATCTGTACACATGGAACAGCCTTCCCTTGAATCACTGCTCAGGCATCACCTTCCCTGACCTTGGTCTTTGTGGTCCTACTTGACCAATTTCTGCCATAGCTCTTGTTCCATTAGAGTCCCTGTTTGTTGTTGTTAATCCTCACCCGAGGGTATTTTTCCATTGATTTTTAGGGAGAGTGTTAGAGGGGAAAAGACAGAAACATCGATTTGAGAGAAACACATCAATTGTGTTTCTCCCCAATCAGGGCCCAGGCAGGGGAGCAGCCTGCAACCAAGGTACGTGCCCTTGATCAGAATCAAACCCGGGCCCCTTTAGTCCACAGGCCGACACTCTTATCCACTGAACAAAACCAGCTAGGGCGAGTCCGTTTTTTCTATTAAAATCCAGTGACAGAACAGTCACTTCTGAAGATCCAATGATGAGTTTTCTTATTTTCTCTTTTTTGTGTACCCGTGTTGCTTTTTAGGGTCATTTGTTGCTTTTATTATAAGGAAAGTAAATATCTGTAACTGGGAAAAGCACTGCAATATGTTGAGAAAGGTGGAAGCTACCCATAATGACAGCCTCCTGACACGGCCCCTACTCGCCCAGCAGACCGGGCTGCCCGTTCTGCTCTCAGCTCCCCCTGCCAGGAGATGCCACGAGGACTCTCCGGAAGCCAGGTTCGCTTTGGGGAGAAGTGGAGGTGGCCCCTGACACCAAAGATTCCTCCCTTCCCTGCACTGGGATCTCTCCTCTGCTCCCTGGGGAGGAGGGCAGAAACCTATATTGCAGCATTGCTTCCTGTGGTCTCTGCCCCTCAGGCAAACGGTCAATTCTAGGTTCTCTCGGCGCCACCCGCTGGTGCCACTTAGCCAGGTAACCCTCCCTCTCCGTACCTGCCCATCTGAGGCACCACGTCCCCAGGGAGACTGTACACGCCATCTCAGCCTGAGGGACTTGTCCCCCAGTAAGCCCGTCAGTGGCCTCGCCCTTCAGCAGCCTCCCCCTCAGGTGCACAGTACCTGCAGGTCCCTGGGGTGGGGTGGGGAGCCAGCCCTCTCCCAGCTGGCTCCTTCCTCCTCCAAGCCCAAGGCTGTCCTATGCCAGTTGGCTGGAGAGCATGGACCCGGTGCCCAGCCACTCAAGCATAGGTCTCACAGGTGTCCACACATTCATTCAGATTCTGGAAAGACAGTCAGTGACGGTGTACATGTTACCTAACAGCCCCACAGAGGCAGGGACCACCCACAGTAACATTGGGCAGCACTGAGACCTTTTAATAATGTGCCCTGGCTTTTACCAGGTTCAGGGAGCCATTCAAAAGCTTCCTCTACTTCTGCTGTACAATTTAGAAAAAGTCCCCATAGAAGGGCTGTGGGAAACATTTCTTGACCTCACCATTGATGTTTTTATCTCCCCTTCTCCCTTCCTCTCTCTGAAATAAAAACCTTTTTACTTAAAAAAAAGAACCATTTGCCCTAACCGGTTTGGCTCAGTGGATAGAGCGTCGGCCTGCAAGAACCATTTGATGATTTAAACTATGCTCAGGTGTTGCTTTGATAAAACATTTTTAAACAAATGAATGGCACTTACGTGACTTAGAGCAGCCACCCCCATGCTCTGCTGGAGGCCTGGAGGCCCGGGCTCACCTGCTGCGGCCCTGGGGCCACTGGGTTGCCTACAGTCCATAGTGAGGGGTCTAAGCTCCTGACTGACCCTCTAGCTCCAGCCCTACTCCTCTGCCTTCATCTTCACTCATCCGGTGATTCTCGCCCTGGCAACTGGGAGAGCAGTCCCCCCAGGGAGTCTGATGGACTCCCCACCCTCCTTTGACCCCAAAGCCCCAGACATCGCTGCTCCAACAGGTGGTCCCGGGTATGAGCCATTTCCCCAGCCAGGCTGCCAGGTCCACACGCCTACCTACATATCCGCTGCCTCCTAACTTGCCTCGGCCAACTGAGGCCAACACTGCCCAAGAGGACGCCAACCCCAGAGTGCTGGTCAAAAAGGAAAGCAGTTTGTCACTTAGTGAGAAAGAACAGCCACAGAACACAGAGGCCCCACGATAGTTTTCAATCAAGCTTTTAATGAAAAGATCATAAAATAACAGTTTCTCATCACTGTACATTAAGACTGCACACTTCTGAATGGAGAGATCAGTCGTAGGTGAGTTGCTTTTCTATGACATTTGAGGGCTGCATACTTGCAGCTCTGACCTGAATTTATCCAAACTCTCGAGGGAAGTGAACTCAACGTGATGACTGACAGCGGCGGTGGCCAGTACAGGAGTGCGATCACAGTGTCCCTCCCCCTTTCTGGGAAGGACATAAAGTAAGGACATGATCCCTCTTCCAGTTCCAATTAAACAAAACAGCTATAACCCCATCCCTCCCTCCCCCTCGAGGTATTTATGAACGGGCCAGTGCCCAACCTGGGGTCCCCCAAGGGGGGAGGGGGAAAACAAGTGATGGGTAGGGTACAGAGAGGCTCCCCTCAGCACCTGGCCCCACAGGGCCCCGCCAAGTGGAGGGGGGGGCCTGGAGATCCTCCCTGTCCCAAGTGAGGTCTGTTATGCAGCATTTTTGAGGTCAATAAATTACAGCAATAAATAGCAAATAGGTGAGGTAGGGGGAGGAGTTCCTGGTAGAAAAAGTGGGGTGACTGAAGCTGGGGGGTACTGGGCAGCCTCAATTCCCACAGTGCACAACCACCCCCTCATTTGGAATGTCAGACTGAGGCTCTGGTTAGATCCCTCTCCATCCCCTCACTCCTGGCATCAGATTCACAGGTTCAATAGCGTCTGCCCCAACGTGGCTCTGGGGAAGACCAAGGGCCTTGGTCCCTCAGGGGACAGAGCTGAGATCCCTTGTTTGTTCTCCTAAGGCCTGGCGCCTCTGCTTTTGTCCCCCAAGTCGGGGGACAGGACGGATGCAGTGACCTCTTCCCTGAGCCCTGCCCTTCTGGCTGCCCAGCCCTCACCCCAACTCAGGACAGTTGCAGGGATGGCGGCTGGGGTCTGCCTGCCCAGCCAGCCAGCCCAGATCGCACTCCTGCACTCGGTCAAGTCCAGTGAATACTGACAGGGTGGGGGCAGAGGACAGCCCGGCACCGAGTGGTGACTAACGGGAAACACACGCATGGCTGCGTGAGGTTCTGAGAGTCAGTCTGGGTCCGGATTGTTCATTCACAGGCTGAGGTGTATGGCTATGCTGCAAGTCTCTGAGATTATTTGCTTAAAGGTTCGTCTTTTCTTTTTTGCAACCCTGGACGAGCCCCTGCAGTGGCTCGGTCTGGCAGGAGCGTGCGGTGGCAGAGCCCGGGCTGCCCCTCGCTCGCCCCAAGTCTGAGAAATAAATACATTCATTACTGCACAAACATATTGATACAAAAACAACACTGTTCAGAGTGTTTGCACCGTCTGTGTTGGTAAGGACCAGCCCAGTAAGCCCCTCCTACTACTGGTGGTGGGGGGGTGGGTCCCCAGAGACCGGGACCAGCCAGAATCAATGGATGTGCAAAGGTCCTGGCTTTTTGGCTTGAGAGGGACCCTCACATCAACCCACCCCAGGATCTTGGGCAGAGCAGAGGTGGGGCTCACCGCCATCCCCAGGTCTAAGCCCAGCCTGGGTCTTGCGGTCAGAGCCGCCAGCACCCCGCTGTGCCAGCTGGCCAGGATGGCCAGAAGGCCTGGGGGCCAGTCAGCACTGGCCCAAGCTCTTTGGTGCCAGCTGGGCTTGGAGCGGCGGGGCTGGGAAAGAAGGCTCAGGTGAACCCGGGGTGCCACGCCTGCCCAGCCCCGCGGGTGCCCTCTGCCGGAGCTCTACCAGGGCCGACTTGGAGGGGCCTCCAGAAGGTTAGGACTCACTGGGACTGGCCTTCCAGCTGCTGAGGTCTGAAACTGTACAAGTTTATGTAAACAATGAGATAAATATATTAGCATCTTTTTTTCTGAGCCTGTTGAGGTTCCATACTCATTCAAAATGTGCTTTGGTTTAAAAAATAGGTTTTGTGAATTTGGGTATGAGCTTTTTTTTTTTTTTTTTTTTTTTTGCTTTTTTCTTTTTGTTGTTGTTTATCCTCTCTTTCCTACATGACAACTGCTATTTTCTGTTTCCTGTTTCACCAAAACATTCAGGAATTAAGTGACTAAAGCAGAGAACTGTAAGCCGCCCTGGGCCTCCAATGGCCTAATTTCCTTGTGAGGCTCTTAACACATTTCCACGCACACTCACACACACGCCACATGAAACCAAAGGAAAAAGAAAACAAAACCAAGGTGTGTCAATCCCACCCTGACCCACAAACCCTTAAAACCTTACCTAGGAAACTAGTGTTTTGCTTTCTTGTTAAAACACAGACAAGGCTCGATACAATACTCTGGTGGGTACAATACTATGTCGCACAAGCGTCGTTGAGTGAGGGCCTCTGCGCCCAGTCCCTGAAGCTCTGCAAATGAATCGCCCACTTTCACGCGTCACCTCACGCTCCCGCTGCCCACGGCGGGGGCCACACACAGACCAGGCATGTGTGCGCCTCCCATGCAGTACAGACTTTGTGTCGTGTGGCTTAAGTGCTGACGGAGTGGGTGGGGTCGGGAGAGCAAAGGGGCCTGCGGCAGGCCCTGCCCCTCACTGACCTGCTGGAACAAGAGACCCTGGGCACAGTCCTCCGTGTCCCAGCTAAAGGAGGAGGAGCTGGCTCAGGGCTGCGGGCACTGCCTGAGGGCTCACTCAGGAGCCCTCACCCAGGAGCCCTCAGTCCCAAAACACACCACTCACCACTCGGGTCCCTGAACTCAGGCTGTTTTCAGCTGGAGGGTCTCTGGAAGGGTTCGGGGTAGGGATGACTCTGGAATTTTTTGGTCTGAACTTAGAATAGAAAGAAAAAAAAAGAAGGAAAAAAAAAAGCAAAAGCACGAAGCAAAATGAAGAAGATAAAGCCACCGGCTCAGCCCTGTGGCTCCTGTCGGCCGAGGACAGAGGAGCCAACTTCGGCACCTTGGTCTGGCCTTGTGAGCGCTGGGCCCATGGAGCTGCCTGAGGCTGGTGGAGAAAACCCCAAGTGAGGGGCGAGGGGTGAAACCCAGACAGGGCTGAGCCAATGGGTGGCAGCCAGCCCCGAGACAGAGTGGCAGTGGGCCAGGACTCGCCCAAGTAGGGCCAGTCCCCTTCCTATCCCCCAGAGGGGACACATCACTTTGGCCAGCCCTTCCCATGCCTCCACACTGGCTAGCACTGGCTAGGCGGGGCTGCTCCTTTCCCAAGCTCAAGCTCCAGCTCTTGCAGGCCCAGGGAACAGGATAGGGGGCTCACTTCCGCTCATCCTCGTCCTGGCAAGGAGCTGAAAAGAGCTGGCACCCATCTCCCGGTTGCCCAATACCTGGCTCCCCTGGGGCTGGAGCCCTCACACCCTCACCTGGCCCAGACTGGAGCTGTGCGGGCCCCCTGGCTCAGCAGACACTCAGAACACCCTCAGGGTGGCCAGGACTAGCCCGTGCCCAGGAGAACACCCTCAGGGTGGCCAGGACTAGCCCCGTGCCCAGGAGAACACCCACGCACAAGCAGAGACTCCAAAGCTGCAGGAGCCTCACCGAGTGTGATGCATGGTGGGCCCAGGGCTGTGCACTTGAACGTCTTTGTGCACTAAAGAGAGGAAAGCAAAAGTGTCACTGCCTCAGCTGCCAGTCACCAACTTACTGTTCTTCGTGAATTTCAAGAGGTAGCAAAAGGTCAGAAGTCTCTCCACCCTGACAGGTAAGGAAGAAGGAAAGCGCAACATCTGTCCACACGCACTGCGCATACCACACACACAAAGAAAAGGAAAACGAGAGTACCGACGGCCCTGGCACCCAGTCCAGCCTCCCCCCTCCCCCCTCGAACCCCAGACCTTCCAGTTCAAACATTCACATAAACGTTACACTGGTTTTTCTCTTAATAAAAAACAAGTACCTCTAAACAAAGAAGATTCCTCAGAAACTATAGGAAAAGCACTCTCTCTCCTGAGGCAGCCGAGGTGGGCTGGGCCCAGGGAAGCCTTTGGCCAAGAAGGGCTTCTGGGGCCTGGAGGGGTGGGCGCCCCAAGCCTGCAGCCAGGCGGGAGGGGCGAGTGCCCCATACATTCAGTCTGCAGACCCAGGCTCAGCCCCGAGGGGCCAGGAGGAAAATAAACTCTTGTTGGTTTTGGTTTAAAAAACAAAACTCACAAAGAAAAAAGGAACAGATCAGTAGGAATAACAGCAACACCAGCCCGGAGGGCTCTTTAGCTGTGGAGAGGTAGGTGGTGAGGGCCCCCCTGGCTCGAGGGGGGGGCCTCCATCGCCTCCCATCCAGCACTGCTCCCCTTACAGCCAACGTGGCCGCACACAGACTAGCACTCCTGCGTACAGGGACATGCCCCTGGCCACAGGCAGCCCTGATCCTCCCAGCACAGAGGGAGGTCCCCACTCCCCTGCTCAGACCTGACCTGTGAGAAAAAGGCCGGGTCCGCACCCCGTGACCCACTCCCACAGGCCCTATGGGAGCCCTGGGAGAGGGGGCAGGGGCCTGGGCGGGATCTGGAGGTAGACTGCACACCCACAATACCTTTGGGGTTCAGGACCCGGCCTTCTGCTCTCTTCCCTTGGTACAGACTGTGGATTAAAGCTCTGGGTAGCGGGGCAGGCCGGAGGTGTCACCAGGAGCCACCCCCGCTAGATTTGGGGTCCGGGCCTGCCCCCTGGGCCTCCTTACTTCTTTCTTCCATTGTTCCCGGGGCGAGTCTGCAGAAGGCGAGTCTGCAGAGCGCGCCCCAGGCTGGAGAAGGTCTTTGGCTTCTAGGAGGGGGAAGTGTGCATGCGCAGGTGGCTGATGAGGTTGCGCTGCTGGGTGAACTTGCCCCCACAGAGCTGGCACTCGTAGGGCTTCTCCCCCGAGTGCACGCGCATGTGCTCCGTCAGGCGGTACTGGCGGGTGAAGCGCATGCCACACTCATCGCAGGCGAAGGGCTTCAGGCCCAGGTGGCTGCGCATGTGGCGCGTCATGGTGCCGCGCTGCGTGAACATCTTGCCGCAGATGTTGCAGGGGAAGGGCCGCGTCAGCCAGTGTGTCTTCTCGTGCTGTCGCAGGGTGGCCGGGTCCTTGTAGGTCTTCTCACAGACGGAGCACTTGAAGGGCCGGGGCTCGGCTGCGTAGGCGGCACTGGGCGTGGACAGGTCCTCCGCCTCCTCCTCCGCACCCCCGCTGCCTGTCTCGTAGGCGCCCTCCTCCTTGATGAACAGCTCCTCCTCCGTGTGCGTCTCCACGTGGGCGTTGAGCTGCTCGGAGCTGGGGAAGCCTTTGGCGCAGGGGATGCACACGTACAGGTTGTCCCCATAGGACACTGTCTCGTAGCCTTCCTGCCGGTACATATAGTGGGCGCTGGCGTGGCCACTGCCCCCCTCACTCTCACTCTGCCCGCTGTCCTCACTCCCGTCCTTGCCGTTCTCTTCCTCCTCCTTGCAGGGGTATGGGGGCTCCCTGTAGGGCCCGCTGGGGCCGCCCCCTGCTACACCGCTGGCCAGGATGCCGTTGGGAACCCTGTCCCCAAGCCCTTCACTCTCTTCCCCTGGGCAGGAGCCCTTGGGCCCCACTTCCCTCCGCTCAAAGGGGGAACCTGCCATGGGCTCCTTTTTGCTCCACTCCTTCTTGCGGGCCGAGTGCCGGAGGCTCTTCCGGGGCTGCCCGCCAGGCCCCTCCAGCAGGCTCAGGTGGTTGTCCTCAGGCCCCTCCAGATCCATGGGCTCACTGGGGGTGCCCCCCAGGTCGGCATAAGAGGCACTGTTGGCAACAGGAGGAGCTGAGGCCGAGAGCGGTGAGCCATGCTGACTGTCACTTAGCTGGGCGGGATCATCTGGGGTGAGGGGGGGACCAGGAGTGGCGGGGGGCAAAGGAGGGCTCTTCTTGGACAAGTCCAGGCCCAGCTCCTGCTCGCAGCCCCCACTGCTCCCATTGGTGCTACAACTGCCCAGGCCGGCCTCCCCACTGGCTGGACAGATGGCCCGGCCCAGGCTGTGTGCACTCTCCTGATTGGAGCTGCCGAGGAAGAGCTCATCATCCGAGCCTTTGGCCTGGGGGAGCTCCTGGGGGGTGTGGGCCCCCTTGCGCCCATCCATGAGCCCTGGATACCGAGCCTGGATGACAGAAGCTGTGGATAGCCGCTGGCTGCGGGGGGGCCGCCCCATGCCAGCAGCCCCCACCCGTCCAGAACCGAAAGGCTTGCCGGCTCGCTTGAGCTTTCGACGGCAGAGGGCTGCCAACTCGGGCAGCTGGAGGTAGCTGGCGGCAGTGAGGAGAGTGCTGAAGTTGGGCTCAGCTGGCTGGTCGCTGGGCAGCAGCTTCCCCGTATAGATAAAGTCCAGGATCTGCTGGAACACTGTGGAGCTGACCATGTCCGTGTCCAGGTTGATGAGGTTGTCGTGCAGGACCAGGGACTTGAAGTAAATACTGCTGGCGGCTAGGACATTCTTGTGGGCCCGGAAGATGGAGTTCTCCACCATGATGATGACATCACACAGGAAGCCCTTTGTCCTCTGCTGGTTCAGCTGCAGCAGGAGCTGCTTCGAATGGCTGGGCAGCTCCATGTCAGGCCCCATGTCCCCACGCCCTGCCCACGCGTACCACCTGCAAGCAAGAACAGGCTTGTGAGAGTTAGCTGACCAGGACCCTAGTGCAAGGGCTCCAGGCCTGGGTGGGCCACAGTGGCACTCAGAGAGGCCTCTAAGCTGACCTGGCCACTGGCCACCTTCTCAGGCACAGTACACAGGAAGGGGACTCACACTAGCCGCCTAGCACTCAGACTGCCAGAAAAGGGGCAACCGGCCCCCTTTGCACTGATGAGAAAACGAAAGCAGGACAATGAAAGTCACTCCATGCCAAGTAGAGAAACTGGGATTGAACTTCACTTCACAGCCCATGGACCATCTGCACACTAAAGGAAGCCAGCCACAGGCCCATAGGGACCTAAAAATGACCAGCAGAGTGTTTTGAGGAGCTGGGAAGTGTCAGGTACTGAAGGGAGCAGGAGCTCTGAGCCATGCCCCAGCGGCGAAATCTCCCAATATTAAACGAAGGTTCTTTTTCTTAAATGCTCTGTGAGCCAAACCAAAGGTGCAGCCTCCAGTCTGCGACTTCTGCTTTACGCTGGGTGCCTCTTACAAATCCTACAGGCCTCCCAAGCTTTGGCCACCTTAGGCACAGTACACAGGAAGGGGACTCACACTAGCCGCCTAGCACTCAGACTGCCAGAAAAGGGGCAACCGGCCCCCTTTGCACTGATGAGAAAACGAAAGCAGGACAATGAAAGTCACTCCATGCCAAGTAGAGAAACTGGATTGAACTTCACTTCACAGCCCATGGACCATCTGCACACTAAAGGAAGCCAGCCACAGGCCCATAGGGACCTAAAAATGACCAGCAGAGGGTTTTGAGGAGCTGGGAAGTGGCAGGGACTGAAGGGAGCAGGAGCTCTGAGCCATGCCCCAGCGGCGAAATCTCCCAATATTAAACGAAGGTTCTTTTTCTTAAATGCTCTGTGAGCCAAACCAAAGGTGCAGCCTCCAGTCTGCGACTTCTGCTTTACGCTGGGTGCCTCTTACAAATCCTACAGGCCTCCCAAGCTTTCAAACTTGCCAAGGTATGTCACCACCTCCCAGACACTGCAGCCCACAGGCAGTCCCTCACCTGCCCCTTGGAGGCCATAGAGCACTTTCTGGTCTGGGTCTCTGGGTGCTGAGTAGAAAATGTGGCTTGGCCACACCACTGCACCCCATGGGCCCTACCCTGGATCCTTTCTGGGCAGGGCAGCACTGTCTGGGCATGGGAGAGACAGGCAGCTGGCCTTGATAGACTGGCACAGTCACTAACTGATGTCATTAAGTACCAAACAGCAGAAGCCTCTGGCCTCATCAGGAACCCAGCAGGCTGGTTGTGTGACAGTGTGATCACCATATGCCCACCCCAGAGTGGCAGGGCCCACAGCACAAGGTCGTGGCTCCCTGCGCCCTCCAGCCGCTCAGGGAACATAAAGCCTTCCACAGGCAACTCTGCCACACAGTTGTCAAAGGTACCCTCAACCCTTCCGCCCAGGGCTCAATCTCTGAGCCTCACCTCACCTGGGACTTCCTGCTCATACCAAGGCACTCAGCTCTGCCTCCCTCAGGACAAAGCCTAGAGGGATCACGCCCACCCTGTCCCTGTGACACAAATACAAATACCACCACCACCACCACCACTCCCCCCCACACGTGCCCTTGTTTGCAAAGATTAATTAAAAATAAAAATAAAAAAACCTAGCAACCACTCAAACCCCCCAAAAAAGCATCAGAGCTTTCTGTGAACACGTGGATGCCAGGCTGCACCCAAGGCCTGAGAGCAGGAGGCAGCAAACACCTGCTAGACCAGCAGTTCTCAACCTGTGGGTCGCGACCATCGGAAAACGCATATATAATTACATATTGTTTTTGTGATTAATCACTATGCTTTAATTATGTTCAATTTGTAACAATGAAAATACATCCTGCATATCAGATATTTACATTACAATTCATAACAGTAGCAAAATTACAGTTATGAAGTAGCAACGAAAAACATTTTATGGTTGGGGGTCACCACAACATGAGGAACTGTATTAAAGGGTCGGGGCATTAGGAAGGTTGAGAACCACTGTGCTAGACAATAGACCAACCTGGCCCTGCAAGGCTGCTCAGTCAGAGGCTGGAGCCAGGTCCTATGGGAACCAACCTTCCCCTACTTCCTGCCCCACAGCCAGCCAGGCAGGGACAAATTGCCCAAGGCATGGCCTCCACATTGGCCGGAATACCTGGACCCAGGGAAGTACAATGTCAGCTCCACCAGCACCCAAATGCCTGTGCTCCAAGCCTGTCAAAGGGACTAGTGAGGGCAGGCGGTCCCATCCTCCAAGAGCCTGTGAGTCCACAATGAGCCCCTCCTCCCCAAACCAAGGACAACAGGTCCAGCCTCCCCTCTGAGCTGCCCAGTGCTGCCTGCACACAAAGGACGCAGGCTGAGAGCTGCAGGGCTGTGTGGGCCTCCCAGAAATCCCCCAGCAGGAGCAGGTGGACGATGCCCTCCCTCCCCAGTCTCCCTCCCACTCCACCACCCTGCCAGCTCCCTGTCCCCAGCCTACCGGAGTGCCAGGGGCCCAGAAACCATGTGAGCAGCAGCGAGCAGGGGTGGCCTCCTTGAGCGCGTGGCCTCCCTTGGGGGTGCATCAATGCCCGGTCACCTGGAGAGAAGATGGAAGATGGAATGGACATGGTCACCCAGACAGCCATCAGGGGAGGGGCGGGGGGAGAGACAGTGAAGTCCTTGAGCCCTTGTTCCCAAGATGGTCAGGGGGTTTCTCTGGCTGGGATGATAGGGGCAATAAACTGGGAAGGAGACAGTGGCCATAGTGCCCTGCCGACAGGCCCAGTGGTAGGTTAAGATGGCAGGTCTAGGGAGCTCAAAGGCACTGACCGCTTCCCACCCAGGAGCTTTAGGGTACCCCAAGGGCCACCTCAGCCTCGGGAGCTGGGAGCATGCTCAAATTCATGGCAGGCATTTTGACAGGAGGCCTGGGCAAGGCCCTTCCCAGGCCAGCCATATTTACATGACAAAAGGTCAAAATTGGAGGCATTGGTACAATGGGCTATTTATAAGAACCAGTCTCAACCACTTCTGGCTCTCCTGCCTCCTTCCCTTCCAAATCTGCTCTTGCCCCCTCCCTGCCCAGAGGGCCCAGCCCCTCCTGCCCAGCCCAGCCTGACCACATGGCCTCCCCTTATAGGAGTTTCCGAAAGCTTGGCCTTTCATACCACCCTGCCAAAGCCACTGGCAGCAGCTACCAGATGCATGTGAGCTGCTCTGCCCCACCTTTTCAGGTCCCACAAGAGGGGGTCCTGAGGTTCTGGCTCCTTGTACACCACTCCCGTGGGCAGACCAGGGCTCCCTTGGAATGGAGCCAGGGTGGGGGAGGAGGCCTGCAGCAGCTTGGAGCCCATCCCTGCCTGCCCTTCCCCCGCCCCCAGGTCCAGGGAGGTTCAGCATGTCCCTCAGGAATGTGACCAGACCCGGGGGTGGGGTGGCTGGGAGGCCTCAACTCCAACCTGCCAGCTGTCTCTCTGGCCCCTAGCACAACTCCCTTCTCACAGAGGTGGGGGGGGAGGGGGGACCTCAGCTGGTCAGCGTGGTTGGTCTGGGATCTCTGATGACCCAGAGAGCAGCAGAACCAGCTCTGTAGGTACAGCTGCTTCGTGGAGTCCAGGCTCAACCCAGCCCCCATGAGGCCAGAGTTGGATCAGTGGGACAGAGCCTGAGGCCAGAGACAACCAGTGGGACAGAGCTGAGCCCTGCCTTGGCAAGGAGAGCAGAGACCACTGCAACACTGAACAGGAAGCCACAGCCAACCTGATGCTCACCACACAGCCCTGTGCCACCCTGCCCAGACAGACCCTCCTACCCAGTGGCTTCCACCTCAGCATGTGCCAGACCCTGCAACCAGGTCACGTGCCCTTGTCAGAGACCAGGCCAAACTACTGGGCAGCTCAGGGAGTGGGTGGCAGCACAGGACTTGGGACTCTCCGTGGGTCCCCGCTGCCCAGTCCTGCCAGGCACCTCACTAGCCTGGGGACAGCTGAATGACTGACCAAGGTCTCCTGGGCTAGGTCAGACGGGCTGGGTCAGGCATGACTCCTCTGGTGCCTGACCTCACCACAGGGACGCTCAGCAGAAAAGAGCAGAGCCAACTCGCTGCACCCTCCACTAGGTGGAGCCCCGGGAGAGTTGGCTGCATGATGCTGTCCTGCCACCCAGGCTGGGCCAAGTGTGGGCCACCACTGTCTACAAACAAAGCAACATCACCAAAGAGGCAGTCCTCCCCGCTGCAGGGCCAGGTCCCCTATGAACCACTGCTCTTCTCCTCCCAGCAAAGTGACGACAGCCAGAGACCTCTGCCCTCCCATTTACCTACGGGGGTGGGGACAGGAAGCACCCATCCTAGAGAGGCCACAGCCTGGGGAGTGGAGGTTGCCAGGTTAGTAGAAGCAAGACTGGGGGCTGGACCAGCAAGCTGGCAGCACAATGGCCCACTGGATCGAGGGGCTGATGCCCAGCCTGGCCCCCAGCAGCCCCCAGGAGTAGGCCCATGCAGTGCCTATCTGCCCCAGGTCAGGCCAGCTACCCGACCAGATCACTGGCTCCAGGAAACCTAGAATCTGGGGTAAGTGGGACAGTCAGGTTCTCCTCTATGGCCTACACCTGGACCATTGCAGGTGGGTGGGTACGTGTCCCCAGGTGGCTGACCCTGGCAGGGAAACAAGTCCCTGGGGGCCAGCTCTGCCATCTTGGAACAAAAAGGGTGTGCGGGAATGCAGAGACCTGCCTGAAAACCTGGATCACCTTCCCCAGGTCCTTGTTTATAGAATGGTCACTCTCCACCTACTCAACAGGGCAGTTACACCATGAACTGGGACAGGTCCCTGCTAAATTCTCATTTCCTTTCCCCCGTACCACAGAAAAGTCAGGGAGGCATTCTGCCTCCTCATCACCCGCCCCCTCCTCCCCCGTAAAACACACACGCACACACACACGCACACTCACTCACTCACAGCCGGCACAGGGCCCAGACGCACTGACACCTGAGGGAAGGCTAGGCCCTTCTAGTTGAGCCAGAGGGAGATGGCAGAGCTCCTCACAACACATCTGCTGCTCCTTCCCTGCCTACTCTCCTCCAACAACGGTATGAAGGGCCCATAAGGCCATGCCATCCTGTGGAAAGAAGCACCTTGGGGCACACACAGCCAACTGCTAAATGAGGTTGTACCTGGGGGACCAAACTACACATTTATGACAAGTTCTAGAATGGGCAGAACTAAACTATGGTAGAAACAAAATCAGGAAGCCTGTGGCGGGTGAGGTGAGAAGAAAAAACAGGCTTTCACAGAACAGGCCTGTGTCGGGAGCTCAGCATTTACTGGTGCTGCCCTATGCCAACTGCACTGCCTCTGCCTCCATGTCTACGGGGAGGCAGCTGGAAGGCAGTAGACACTGCTAGAAGGTACCAGCAGCCCAAGATCCAGAAGAGCCCCAGGCCCAGCCCCCACCCCACCTACCACACCTACAAGCCTGGGACTCCGTTCATCCCATCTCATGGCCTCCTCTCTACTCAACCGAGGTTCCTCCGTGAAGCCTTTCCCGTCCCAACAGGCAGGAGCCTCCCCGTTCACTCCTGCAAAGGCTGCACCTCACACTGCACGTCTGCCCTGTGAGAGGGCAGCCCGCCTGCCGGGAAGGCTCTGAAGGGCTACCTCTACCTCCAGGGACAGAGAAGACAAGGTTCTGGGGGTTAAGCAACTTGCCAAGTTCACAAGAGCAAGTGAGGGGCCGAGTGAGGACTGAATGTGACTCCAGCGCAGCAGTCAGGCTTTCCCTGCCGCAGAAACAGATACAGCATTCCCTTCCCAGGCAGGAGCAGGAGTGCCGCTCACAGCAGACCTGCCCTCCACGTGCAGCCACGGAGGCTAGTCTTGGTCACCTCCACCCTTACCCCCCACACACAGCCTGCCTTTCATAGCAGGGCCTCACTTTTCATAGTGGGCTGTGTCCTTCCACTCAGTGTAAGGGCCCATGGATGGCCCGGTAACCCTCACACCTGGGGCAGTGAGGAGTTTCAGGCTAGAAGCCACAGGTAGATTCCATCACTCAGCCTGCTTTGGGGGTGGGGAGCAGGCTGCCCCGGCTGCTCCGCTGGGAACAGCTCTGGCCTCCATGACCTCTCTAGCCAGTCCCTCCAGGCAGGGCTGGTGATGGGTGGGACTCACGGCTCTGGGCAAGCCCAGCCGTGTAATCCAGCCCAGATCTGGATGCCGGCCAGCAGCTCCTGGCTCTTCTCCCAGACCATCGTCCTGGAAAGCAATAAGCTCCACAAATGCCAGGAGACCAGCGCTCCCTCCAACGCAGCTTCTATGACATAAACACTTGGGTTTTACTCAGCGCATTAGTGACGTGGTGATGGGGGCCCCTGGGCTGGCTTTCTTCTCTAACCCTCGGGCCAGTCTTGACACCCATCCACTGGCTCACCTTGATCAATGAGGGAGGTGGCATCCACCCTAGGCTGACCACCCTGAGTCTATCCTGAAATCTTATGGCCCCACTGAAGACCCCAAGCTGCCCATGTGGGACTTGGACACAATCTGTGCCACTCCCATCTGAGATGGGAAAGCTTGTGGGTACCTCTGAGGGGAGATCTGGCAGGAGGCTCCCCACCACACCACCCCAGGCCCCATGACCCTCGAATCCCTGCTTCTCCGGAGAGCCTTGGGTCCTCTCCTCCTCCCACAAGCCTACAACCCTCACACCACTCCTGGCTTTGGTGCCAACAAGGAGAAACGAGGCCAAGATGACCTGGGGGATCCGCAGATGGATTTCCCTTCCTGGTGCTGGCACAACTGGCTGGCTAGCACCAGGAAAGGTGAAGGGCAGGATCCTGCCAGGAGAGCCCCAGGCTTGATACAATCTAGCCAAAAGTTTTGAATGGGCCCAAGACCATGAGTTCTACTGGGAAGAGGCAGGTGAGCGCTGCTCAAAGGGGGATAATAATTTAAGGTTATAATTATTATTAAAAAGCCATGTTCTCCTCCAGACTCTGTCCCCCACACTGCACTGCCTCCTCAGAGGCCTGAGCTGTTGGTAAGAGGCTGGCTGGCAGTGACAGAAGCAGGAGGCTGGGAGCCGGAGAGCCTGTGGGAGGCCGGCAGGGTGGGTCTGCCAATAGGACAGCACAGCAGGGGAAATTGGTCATCCTGTCAGTCCAGGAACAAGTGAAAATCCGGGAGCCACTTCAGCAAGAAGGCAGACAGGCCCGGTATGCTGGTTCCTGTGCCCCCAGTCCCACTTCCTGCTAGTCTTGGTTGTCATAGGGTGAGGTACAAGGACCAGCAGCTGTACGTGGGAACTCTAAAATGCAGATGCTCAGGTCTCACTCCACATCTCAGAACCAGAACCCACATTTTAACCAAGGGACCCCACACACACACATTTAGGCCTGGGAAGAGCTGGGGTGGGTGGTAAGCTTTCTAATGCCCAGAACGGACTATGCTCTGCAAGCAGTAAATGCTCCTCTGATGGGTGTCAAGAGGAAGGAGACAATTCCAAAAAAGGAAGACACAGTTTCTCACAGAAACAAGCCCAGAGGGTAATTAATAAAGTCAGGGGGCCTGGAATGTGAGACAGAGAGGCTGAGCCTGGTTACCACAGGCATCTGGGCGCCAGGGTGGTGGGCAGGAGGTTCTGGGTGTGGGTAGCAGGCAGAGGACACAGGAAGGGGATGGAGGACAAGCAGGGAC